CTTTTCGGATATGACGCATTTCACTTCTGCGCATGCGCAGCTTTTTCAATGCATCATATCCGAAAAGACACAACTGCTAAAATGTATTATAACAGACTCCCCAAACTGTATTATAACAGACTCCCCAAACTGTTAAAAATGTATTATAACAGACTCCCCAAATTGTATTATAACAGACTCCATATAAATTACCCAAACCACAGATCACTAATAATAATACAGTAAAAAATAACCGCATTAAAAATGTCTTTAATTTCAAAACACGAACAAAAAAAATTCGAAGGAGACGGTTTCTTCTCTGCGCTAACATCTCTCATCCCCAAAGTGGCCAATTTTGTCTCAAACAACAAATCCCTCATTTCCTCAGAAGCGCAAGCTCTTGGATCTGTGGCAAAAGCAGGAGTAAATATTAGCGATGCAGTGAAAAAATCTAACGAACTTAAAGAACTTCAGCTAATAAGAGAACTAAGAAATAAGAGACTAGAAAGACAAGCCTTAGAAAAACAAGGAAAAGGGTTTAAAATCATTGGATAAAAAAAGCAAGTAAAAATTACAGATTAGATCCAATCTTTCAATTGTATGATCCGATTCAATATTCGTTCAACAAGAAGAAAGAGGATTACGTAATCATCTCACCATCGGTAGGGACAAAGACCCAAATAAACGACGGAGGAAGAGTTACCTTTGAAATTAATTCGTTGTCCAATTGGTTGCTGCTTTCCGATGCCCATTTCAGATGCGATTTCAAAATCAAAGACGCCGCTCAGAATCGAATTCCACAAACCAACACGACTTTAGAAAACAACTTCTTTCCGTCTTTATTCAGCGAAATGGTTTTGGAAGCTGGTTCAAATCCGATAGAGACCATAAAACACCCCGGCGAGTTTGACACAATGTTGAAAACGGTTCTCTATCCCAAAAACTACGATTCAGTTTCGGGATGGATTCCCGATGTCGGTGACGGAGAAGTTTTAAAAGAACCGGTCAGAACTGTAGCAAATGACGCAGACCTTGCTAGGATAAGGGTAGTTGCTAGAAACACACTGGAAAGAGTGACTCGCGGAGTAAATCACGGATTTGAAAAACAAGCGCTTCAATACAACAATATCGTCGAGAACAACAGATGGGGTAATTACGTAAATTGGAAGTTGTATCCTTTATTTGGTCTCTTGGAACACAGAAAGGTTTCCATAGGTTTACCGTATAAAATTCATTTGCAAAGAGAAGTCAACAACGATAAGATATTCTTTGGAGAGAATGGTTCAGATGCAAAATTGGAAATAACGAATATCCAACTTTACATACCGGTAATTACTCCTTCCGTAGAAGTGGAAATGAGAATATTCAACTCTTTAACCAAAGACATCGAAATTGCTTTTCTTCGTCGTAACACGGTAGGTAGCATGACTTTAACGGGAGAATCCACCACGTGGCCAATCACCAACACCGTTAAACCAGCGAGATATCTAATGGTCGGTTTCAAAAACTTGCCAGACTCTCAGACAAACAACAACAACATTTTCAGAGTGGCATTGAACCATACTCAAGATCCCATCATTCGCAAAGTTCAAGTCAGATTGAACAACGATAATTATCCTAATCAACCTTTGACAATTGATCCTTCCAAAAAAGATTACAACGAATTGTACAGAAACTATAAAAACATGTGCGAATAGTTTGGAAATACGCCTCAGTTTGAATACACAGATTTTTCACTCAATCATCCAATCTTTTGTTTCGATCTGTCAGCTCATCAAGAAGATCTTTTCAAAACAGGGGTGAATATAAATATTCACATCGATAAAACACAAGGAGATGTGACCGGCTATTGTTTATTGCTGGAAGAAGCAAAACATTTGATTAAAATATCAGATAGAAGAATGATAAGAATTGAATAAAAAAAACACCCTTTAAAAATGAAACCAGAAACTTTAGTTATGAAAATAATAGAAGCTATGGAAACGAATTCGCCGACTCTAATAACTTACAACGGTAAAAAAGTGCACATAACCCAAAAGATTATCGATAAATACAAACATTGCAAAGTCAGAGACGATATAGACTTGGAAAGAATTGATGAGAATTTAACTAAAAAAGGTGGATTTTTACCTTTCTTACCTTTAATCTTTGCTGGTTTAACTGCAGCTGGTGCAGCTACTGGGGGAATATCTGCCGCAGTCAAAGCTGCCAACGCAAATAAAGCAGCTGCAGTAAAAGAAGCTGAAGAACGTAGACACAATTTGGCAATGGAAAGAGAAGCACGAGGAGGTTCGGGAATAGGAGATATATTAGGGACGGTTAAAGAATTCGGACAAAGATTTGGCGAAGAAACCAAGAAAACCGTTAAAGAGGGATTAAGCAAATTAATAGATAAAATCGACACCGGAGAAATGAAGGTCAAACACAAGGGCGACGCCATATTTTTTAAAAACATACGTTCGGGCGAGGGAATCTTCCTTTCAAAGTATAAAGGCAACGGGGTGATTTTTGGTACGAAAATGTAATAAATAAAAATGGGCAAGAAATTTAATCATTTGGAAATATTTCCTAATAACCCAATGCTCATGTGTATATGCAGTAGTTCAGGTTCTGGGAAAACTCATCTCACTTTTAACATGTTGACCAAACCTTTTAGATTTCGATTCTCTGTATATCTACACAACAACACCAGAGCAATCGTATTATCAATTCCTCAAAGCTTTGGAATATTTACCAAAGAAAGACGTTCAAGACATATTTCAATATTACGAAGAAAACGAAGAAGAAGTGGAAATAAAAGATATCATAGAAAACTTCATTAAATCAAAGAATCCATCTTTCAATCCAACGGATATAAAAGTTTTTCTTACGAAAAATGTTAATGATCTAGACTTGTCTAATATTGATAGCAATCGAAAGAACTTAATATTGTTTGACGACTGCGTAGCGCAAAGAAATCAAACTGTTCAACAAGAATTCTTCACCAAATGAAGACATCACAACTGTCACTGCATATACCAATCCCAATCTTTTTACGGGATGGATTCTATGTTCATTAGAAAAAATGCAAATTGTTTTTTTATTATTTGAATTAAACGATAAAGATTTATCTCAAATCATTCAGTCTATAAATCACGGAATGGACAGAGATACACTTAAAAAGGTTTGTAAAGCTCAATGGAGAAACCCAGATGATCATGGATATGTATTTATAAATACTAGAAAACCTGCGGGAGAAAGAGTTATGATCGATATATGTTAATTTTATTTTTTTAAAAATGACGGATTGGAATAATTTTTTAAAAAGAAATAGAGAATATATCAAAGCTAAGAATAAAATAAAGACCCAAGTTGAAAATAACAGATTACAACAACTCGGATTAACGGAAAATCTACAGACTTTATTTCAACCCATATTAAAATCTCAAGAGGATATTAAAAAGAAATTAGCTTTAGAACCCACACCTCATATAGAACCCAAACCGATTGAATATAATGGTATTATAATTAGGACATTAGATGATATAAAACGTCTTTTTTAAAACCCTGACCCAGATTTACCAAAGAGCATTTCACCAATCGTTGATGACGAGGGTTTGTTGTTCAATGGTTTTAGAATAAGATTTAGTGGAAATTCCCCTTTATTCAAAATCGACACAAAAGACTTTATATTTACATTAGCGAGAGGGTTAATAGATTTAATGAATGGCAAGGATTTTGAAATTGCCGATTACAAGGATTTAGTTGCATACTCAAAATTTCTACATGCGATCAGAAAGTCGGGACCCGAAACAAGAAGATTGAAAAAGGTTGATTTTTATATAACAAGAGTTATTGAGGAAGAGAAATCAGACGATTATGCAGAAGATTATCCACCAATTATACAAGAAATAGACGAATTCGATGATATGGTGGCATCTGGACAAGGTATAACGTTTTTATCCGACGACAATAAAGAATTGCTTAATAGATTAGAAATAATATTAGCGGCCATGAAAGAAGGTCATCGATCGGACAGACAATACAACGAAGTCAATGCCATATTAAAACGACTTTTGGAGAAAGAAATCATCACTAAAAAAGACTATATAAACGTCATTAAAAATGTCCAATAAAGAACAATTGTTCGTTATCACCTCGAATAAACCAGACATCAAATTGTCTCTAGACTACGAGTATGAACTCGATCGCAATAAACAGTACGAACTGGGATTAAAGTATTTCTCTGTTTACAATTCCATTAGAAACATCAACGAAAAAAACAATCAACTAAAAATATCGACGGATAACGGAGTTACGTTCGAAACCATTAGCTTACTACCGGGGAGCTACGAATACGTAGCCATTAACGATTACCTATCCGAATACGCAGGAAGCGTGAACGGCAAAAACAATATCGAATTCGAAGGTAATATGAATCTGAACAAAATAAAACTGATCTTGAGAAATAACAGTCAAGTAGATAACGTAGAAAATTCGTTGAATGCGTTACTAGGCTTCGATAAACGAATATACGCGCAATCGACATTGGCCCCGCACAAGGCCAACATCGCGAACGATATCGACGTGATCAACATTCACTGTAATTTGATCAACGGTGGATTTTTCAACAAGCACAAACGTCAAATCATATACAGCATACCGACTTTTACGGTGCCGATCGGATACAGAATTATAGAGAAACCGTTTCAAACAACCTATTTACCAGTCAATTCTTTCATGATCAAAGATATAAATCTGGAAATCAAAGACGGTAAAAACAGGTTCATAGACTTTGGCAACGAAGAAATTGTCATTCAACTTCATTTAAAACAATCTTCATTCTCTTCTTGATTAGAAAGATAATCGAAATCATCAAATTCATAGTTTTCGTCAAAACTATACTCATCTTTGTCGTTGTAAGGATACATAATTCCTTCACTGTTTGGTGGTTTTCTTTTAACATTATTCAAATAACTTCTAAAAACTTTAGTTTGTTTATCATTTGGAATAACTACTCCATTGGTGAAACTTTTTTCCCATGGTTTATTAAATTCGTTCGACACATCATGTCCGCTTGCTAACTGAACGTAATCTTCTACACTTATCTTATCATTAGAATAACCTTTAAACGTTTTCTTTTAAGACACCACCAGAAGTCAAAACGATGTTGTATTTGACTTTTGGTGCTAAATATAAACCAAATATAATTCCACCGTCACCGTAATCGTTTTTACCTTTGCAATAGTCTTTTTCGGAGACCAAACCAGCTCTGTTTAGTTTTTTCCAATTTTTGGATGAAATGTACAAACTATCGGTGTCGGTATAGTATATTTCGGGTTTATAAAATCCATTTATGACGTGAATGAAATTGTTCATTATTTTTTTACTGTGAGATAAAACGAATGATCCCAAATGACTAGGTGTTAGTCCTGTAGATTTACTGTCTTCGGTAGTAATCTCTTTTTCTTCAATATCCGTTTCAACAATATATTGAGTATCATTAATTTTCTCATAGGTTTTAACGCGTGAATCAAAGTTGGCCTGTGAAGTTGCTTCATTCCATAAATGTCTAGTTGTGAATATATCTTTCTGAATTGATTTACCATACTAGGAATTACCTAATAATTTCATGCAGTTACTACCCACGATATTACCTTCTCTTTTATATTTATTTCTTAAATCTCTCAAAATTAAAATATAATCTCTATAGGGTGGAGTTTTAAAATTTTCTTCGTAAACTATACCATCTAATATTCTAATAATTCGTCCACCGGCTTTCACTATTTCTTGAATATCGACCGATGTTAAAACGTCGTGACAGAAACCATTTCTGAACCTGATTTTGTTACCAGTTTCCTTTTTACCTTCTTTATTCGTGAAAGTGATTTTATCTTTAGCTGGTATCGGTTGGAAGAACATGTTTTTGGGATAGTCAAACCACACTGTTAAAATAGCTGTTCTGGGTTTGAAGTTTTGTTTATTGAACAGCATCACAAATTCTTTTTCTTCTTCTGGTAGAAACGGTCTTCCACTTTCCGCTCTCGGATATTCACTGTCTAAATCCAACATGGCGGAAGCGTATAAACCGTTAGCATCAAATGCCATTAGTTTAGTACAGTCCAGTTCTTTGAGTTTAGCGTGAACTTCCGTTTTATCTTTTGGGTTAACACTGTATTCTTTAAATAAATCTATTATTCCTTCAGTGTTGCTTTCATTGTATTCTTTTAATACGGCGCAGATCTCATTCATTTTGTTCGTTTCAAACGATTTTCTATTTGCCGAAACTCTTCCTCCTTTAATAGATCGTCTGATAAAATTTCTTATAAAAGGATTTGTGTGCGAATAAACTTTTTCTATATTTTCTTTTTCGGTATGTTTCGCAACCATTCTAGTAGTTTCATACCATTCTTCTTCCACCATTTCTTTATCGTAATGATATAAATAATACCAACCCTTTAAAGATAAAGATGGAGCCGTTAGATTATTGGACATATTTTGGTTTACAACTTCTTTCGTGACTTGGTTGTATTTTATCAAACAAGCTCCCAAACAGAGAGTGTCTCTCTTGGCGTAAGGTTCCCATTCGTGTCTCAATTCCTCCCAGTTGTCTCGCGTGTATTTAGCGATATCTACGTCCACAATCTTTCTCAAATTCGCGGGAAGATTGGAAGAATTTCCCCATGCAGCCAAACTAGAGGATTCGTGTTGATAGGAACACGTGATATTAATATGTTGTAAATAATTACCCTTTATTTCTTTCTGTCTTTTCCATTTTTTCTATAAATCTTCATCCGTGTATTGATTAGATAAAGGAAAAGATAGAATTCCTCTGGGTGTTTTTAAAGGGCAATGCGTTAGTTTTTTTGCTTTTTTAAGCACGATCCAGTTGTCGAATCCACTGCCGTTATGAGAAATTAATATTAATCTCTTTCTATCATATTGACCTAAATATTTCAACATTTGATCGATGCAATCTGTACCTACAAATATTTCTACTACATTCATTAGTTTATCATAAAATTCTTCTGGAATGGGATCTGTAGGCTTTGAATCTGGAAATAGATTATTTATTCTGTTTAACATTTTCCTTAGATTTTCTAAATCAATTAAATTGCAACAATATGGAATTGCTCTTCGCGTGTCTTTTTTCTGAATACGTTTCGCAATCCCAAGCGAATAACGCATCATCGCTCATACTCGAAAGCACGTTTAGTTTGAGGGGTGAAACCTGTGTTACTGCGTTGTCGTCTCTACACGTTTTCCACACCTGTTCGTAATGGTCTTCTATTTCTTGAATTCCCAAACTTTTTTGGCTTCTTCTAATCAAACAGAAATGCGAGTTGTGTAAGTATAAAACCCAATCTAATTCATCGTGAACTTCTCTGGGGTGAAAATGTCTGTTTTTGGGATTATAAATTTGAAACGAAGTGTTAAATTTCTTGTTGAATTCATTCATTCTAGCACAAGTCATCACTCCTTTTCTATTTGCTTTTGAAAACCCGTTGATGTATTCTTGAAATTTACACGTTAAATCTTTGTTCAAAACACGATTGACGCATTTGATAAAACAGTGACCATCTGTAGGTATGAAACAATTTTCGCCTTCGTATTCATTTATCTTTTTAAGCAGATCAGTTCCTCCTCTACCAACTCTCGACCTTTTTATTTCATGGAAATTGTCTTTCATTAAAATTATTTTTCCTGTAAAATACCAATCGGAAGCATCGGATTTTTTGTCCATATTTGAAAAGATATTGTGAAAGGTTTTGGCATTGAAACCGAGGAGTGACATGTATTGTCTGTGATTCCCTTCCTCGACTATCTCTCCATCTATTTTAATTTGTCCTTTGAATGTTTAAATTTATCAGAGATTGCCTTGATAACATCGGAAAATAGGGCGTTTTCTATCAATGTTTCATCAAGTTCGATTTTAGTCATATTTTTTTAAGTATATATTTTTGATTATTTCTTTATTTTGACCGCTGATATTTCTGTATGGAATTTGTCGAAAATTCTTGTAATTCTTCAACTGTTATGTTTTTGTCTTCTCTCGATCTTTCGAAAAAGATGTATAATTGATTAAGATACATATTCAAGATATCCGTTTTCTTTTTATAATGAGCTTTCTTTTTACTCGTGAAACCTATAGCAATCAAGCCACAAGATGAAGTTTGAATAGCAGTAATTGTGGCTAATACAGGGACAAGTACAGGAACCATTAATCCACCAGTCACGGCCGTTGCAAGTGTTGTTCCTATCGTTAGAACTACACTCGCTGTTTTGAAAACAGAATCGATTCTACTCCATGTTTTCCTCCATGAATTGTACTGTCTCAACTTTATTTTCAACTCTTCTTGTTTGTCTATCATGTATTGTTGTCTGCTTTCGAGTTCCATTTTTTAAGTCGTTAAATTAAGTGAATTTCCGATAGATAGAACCACGGAATATCAAATAGAGCGTGGTCGTTTGGCCTAGTATTCTTAAATATTCGGGTATTAAAAGTAAAAACATTTACGCGTACTAACGACATTTCTTTTTTCGTATGGTCCTCTTTAAGATGATAGGAATATTTTATTTTTTCTTTTTCGATGTTTATCTTGGCGCTAAAAATATAACCACCAGCATGAAGGATGGAGTCGGAACCTTCGACAAACGTTAAATGTACTATAAACTCTCGTTCTTGTTGACTTTTATGAACATCGATAGAGGTGTATTTTTCACCTAAAGCGAAATACAGTTTTACGTATTCAAAGTCTGTTGTTCGTAAAAACTCGTGACTGCTCGATTCTATTTTTCCGTGTTTGTGTAAGCGTGGTGGAATTTTGTCAATGTTGCTTGATGGTGGATTTTCCGTCTCCAATATCATATCCAAATCTTTGATTCCAATGATATCCTTATCATTTTCTACTTCCATTTTAAAGGTGTCTACATATTTACCATTTTTCGTTTCAATTTCCTGATCCCTTTTATCAATCAAACGTATATTCTCTTCCAAATTACCATCATTGAATAATGAAATATGTTTGACGGCCTTACCGGTTTGTTTGAAGACTACTTTATTGACTTTAACCTTCATGGGAAACTCTATTTGAATCAGACAATTACCTCGAAAAGAAAACTCTTGCGTTTCGCCGATATCGAATACGTTTTTAGGTTCACCGTATTCGAGAGAACCCACTTTTATTTCTGCTTTGAATCCGTATTTGTTTGATTTATAATTTTGGTCTTTTCTATCGAAGACAGTGTCACTTTCGAATGGAAGATTGAAATAATACGATTTGTCCGTGACAATAGCTTCTAATTTGCTCAACTTTCTATCTTGTCTCAAAAAATCGTCATGAATTCTAGATACCAAAAGATTGACCTGTTCTTTAAAATAACTTTTCATATCATCTCGAAATTTATTTTGAAGAAAGTTTTTAATCACACCCACTTCTTTTTCTAATTCGTCCGTGATTTTAGTATCCAAAGCAGTTGTGAAATTGTTGTTTCAACGTATCTTTGTCAATGGGAAGTGTGTTAATTATATCTTGAACATCTGATTTTGCTTCGCGATCTTTTCGTTCAAATTGGATATCGAATTTTGTAACTCGGTTTTGTCCGCGGTCTTGTCTAGTTCTGCTAGCAATTCGCCAAGTTTTCTTTCCAAAGCGGCTAGTTTTCGTTTCAATCTATCCTCGTTAACATTTGGGTTGTCTATTAAACGTTGGACGTCTATTTTTACCTTCGTAATCTTAATCGTCTAATTTAGATATCAACTCACTTGTTTTATCCACTTGAATAAGACGTTTCAAATTCGTTAACTCTTGTTGTAGTTTGGGTTCGTTCACAAGATTTTTAATATTTCGTCTGAAGTATTTCTTCACGTCATTTATTCTGTTTTCAACATGGTCCTTATCTATTTGAATTGCTTTTATTTGATCCAGTAAATATTTCTTGTTCACGGCATCGTTATCGTTTCCTGGAAACTTTAAATTAGTTATTTTGAAATTGTTCATATCCATATCCCCTTGTAAGGTGTCTCCGATTTGATCCACGAAAAAAGGTTTCGCTTTGATTATAAACGCCGTAGAACTCATGGGATTTTTAGATTCTAGAGGTAAAGACCCTAATCCAAACTTGTTTGCCATTTTTATTGAGTTAAATTTATTATAATTTCTTCAAACTTTTCTCCCAAACTCAACCGATATAAAATCCAAAGCGACAGCTGACCACACAGCTTTTGTCCTGGGATTTGAATTTGAAACGTAGAACATTTGATTGGTTTGCTAGTCAATTTCGTTATCTCTTCTGTCGGTTCTAGACCGAAAGAATCGAAGAAATAAAAGTTATTCGAAGAATCTTTGTGTAAAGCAGAGTGATGAACTCCTTTTTGATTCGACGTGTGAATGTTTGTGATGGCGTAAAATTTACCTTTCTTGTATTTCAGTTCATCAATTTCATCTCGCATGCAATAATAAAACGGCGAGACGTTTAACTCCTTGGCCCATTTCACAAGTTGAAAATTTGTGGTCGTGTCTTTTCCGTATTTATCGAGAAATGCATTCATTTTTTAAGTCGATTTTTTTTAGGTGTTTTTCGAAGTAGGCGGAAAGTATTGCTAAAGACCCAATTGACGAAATATATACGTAGTTTGTGTTTGAAAAAACTTGTATAACATTCTGATAAAACACATTCAATAATATTTTGAAGAT